TTGTTGGGGGCAATATGCTGACTCTGTAAACCGCTTAGAGAGGGCTGAAAGCCCCATGAAGCGGTATATAAGCCTAACTATTGCTATTGCTATTGAAACCCATCACTGAACAAAAGTGAGGAAATGGTGAACCTCAAGGTTTGATGAACCTCCAAGGTAGCAAGCATAGCCCCAGTTATGTTTAAACTGGGGTTTTTTTGTTGGGGAGGGGAGTAGTTTAGAGTATTGTATGAACCAACGACTTACTAGCTGGTAAGCAAGTGTCGTTCAATCTTTTAACTGTGCAACTCCAAAACAACAACGGCAACAAAAAAAACCACCACCAGTTAATTTAGTAATCGGCGTACGCCTGTTGTGTCAGCATAGCCAGCTAGCCCTAATTATATCTCCCCTTGAAATGAATGAGATATAAATTAACCAAAGTGAGTGGTTGATTGATTTGAGAGGTGTTTCTCCTCATTTAGCTGGAAGGTCACAACAAACAATTATGAAATGCAATTAAAGCAAGAAAACAGGTAATGGGAAACACTCAATCACATAATATAGGTGACAGGTTAAATTGAGATGGGCTTTTGGTACGTACAAATGCAAACTAACAACAAAAAATCCACACGTAGAAGACGCACGCCATGTTTACCCGAAGAAAAGCGTTGTGCTAAGCAGCGGCCAAAATACTTGACAGGCGGCTTCCAAAATTTTATTGTCAGGTGCAAGAAACCAGAGTTACTTGTGAATGAGAAAAGTCAGTAACGTTATCATCTACCAGCTATGTTATAAGAATCTTACCAGCCTTCTTCTCTTTCCCTGGGAAGGAACAGATAAGGTTTCAGGTGTCTTGGGGGAAGTCAAGGTTCTATTGCTTGCAATGGCACAAGGATTCCAAGCTAGGCCCTCACTTGACCCCTCCTTCCAGGTTTGCTGACAGTTTCCCAACAGTTATTGGCATTTATCTATTGTTTTCTTCCTCTGTAGTGAGTGGCCTGCGATGCTACCAGTGTGTGGGGATGTTCCATGAGTGTGTCCAATCAGAGCAATTGTGTACGCCAAGGGATCGGTCCTGCTTCTCATCTACCATCAAACTTTTCTGTAAGGAAACCCCCCCCCCCAATTTCCTGTACCTACTATGATAATTATTTACTTCAATGACATCCACCTTTCTGTTCAGAATGGACCATTTTTGTCTGCCTGCAATAAGTACACTCTAATGGCTCAATGCTTTCCACAGGAAGGGGATGAACTAAAATTTGTTATCATTTAACAAGCAATTTAAAAAAATAATAATTAGAAAACAAAGTATTCAAACTTCAGGTCATTTCAAAAGTGTTGACTGCGGTTTGACCAAGATGACTATTCCCTTGGTCTCCCAGAGCTGTAAACCTGCCGGAGATTGCTGTCTCCTTGCAAGGAGTCGCTGTCTGGAACACTTATGGGTGATCTCAAGTCCTCTCCTTGTCCATAGAGGTTTTGAAGAACCAGTCTAATCACTGGCTCTTCCTTCCACCACAGTCATCAACTCTGCTTTTCATGGAGACACCTTCAGTCTATCACTTCGTCCTTCAGAAGTCCCCATCCTGGTTTCTTCTGAATGCTCCTTTCTCTGGTGCAGACTCTCCTGAAGCTGATGGGAATTGTCCATTTTTCCTGAAGAGATGAAGGGGAGGGCGGCCTTTCTTGTCAACAGTGATTACTTTTGGAGATGGTTGGGCTTTTGAAAGCAAATGATTTAACAGACCCTTCTCCAAGAAAGAAGCATGGCTCGAGAATTCAGGATCTCTTATAGCCAGGGAATCCCTCCAGCATATTATGGCTGTTTCATCTTCTCATGGGAGGGCTAGTCAGCAGAGGTGGGTTTTTACCGGTTCGGCCGAGTAGGTAATAACTTCTATCCTCGATGGCGCCATCTTGATTTTCTGTTCTGCACATACGCAGAACAATCTTCATTGAAAAAATCTAATTATTTTTCCTTTTTTTGATGTGCTGACCTTTTAAGGCGCAAATGAGCAC